CGCTTCGGCCTTTCTCTATGCGAACTGTTTGTTGAATAAGAGCGAACTTCATACTAGCAAGGATCGAGCTCTTTTACTGGACCGAACCGAACTCTCGACTGGTTAAGCTCGATTCTCATAATAAAATATCTTTAATTCCAAGAGGATTATTATTTAATAATGACGTGGACAGATCCAAGTGGATCCTACCGAAGATGTGTGGGATCCGACCCCAACAATATGGATATTGGATGAACCTAAGGAAGACATGAACTCTATCTCTTGGCCACGACGAAGAAGATTGTCAAGAATTGAGTAGATTTCAATTGATGGTTTTGTGTCGTCTCTCCTTCGATTCAATGCAAATTAGATACATTGATCAACTTTAATCAATCGATTAATCCACATGCAAATAGCTTGAAAAACTCCAAAATCGGAAACGTATAAGAGAGGTTGAAGAAGGGGAGAAGATTGTCAAAAAGGGAATTTTTTTTCTTTTTCAGATTTCAAAGACGATTTTTTTTGTTTTGATGCAATATTTTCTGTTTACTTCGTCAAACATTAAAAAAAAAAACCTAAAGGGTAAAGTACAGAAAAATATCTACTAAGGTCCAATACATAAAGACACGTCCTTAAAATGCATTCGATAAATTTGGAATGATGCAACATAAATCAGTTTTTTTTTCTTCTTATTTTTTTTTGTCAATTTTTGGCTTATATTACTCGTGAGTTATTCGTTGTCTCTTTTTTATTTTCTCTCGCCGGCGAGAAGACTCAAATCTCTATTTTTCTCTCATTAGATTTCTCTTATTTTTGCTCTATCTCCTCTTTCTTTTTCTTTCTCTCCCTCTCGTTGGATTTCTTCACCACTCCATATCACTATTTCTCTCATTCGTCAGACATCACCACCGAGTCTCACTACTCCGACCCACCAGACCACCACCATAACTGAATCTCACAACTATCACAATTATCATCACCATCAATACTAAATCTCGCTAATTCTGACCCACCACCGTCATCAATATTTACCGCCACCACCACCAAGCTTGAACCACCGTCATCAACACCAACACCACCTTTACCGCATATTCCCCTCTTTCCCCAACTGCTTTTATTTCTCCACCTTCTTTATCTCCTCTGACATCGGGTCGAGCTTCTTCGACAACAACTCTATTTTATGTCCATCGCCGTTCATAATTCTTAATTTTCCTCCATCGCCATGTATTCTTAATTTGTTTTTCTATCTTGTTGTTTATCTATAGATGTGAGTATTTAGAATCCTTTTTCTTTTAGGATTAATAATTGATTATAAATTTCTTTAATTATCTATAATACAATAAAATTGTATAATTTCATAAATCTTTTTTAATGTTAAGGAAAAAGTAATCCTTTTATTTTAGAATTAGTAGCTTTAAATTAGAATTAGTAATAAATTTTTAATTTCTATTTTTATTTAATCAGATACATATAGTTTTCTTATAATTATCTTCTTTACTTTTTTTTTTTTTTTTAAGATATATATGTATAGTTGCCTTATAATATTTTTTCTTAAATTTCTATTTTTATTTCATAAGATACATCTATTTTCCTTATATTTATCTTCTTTAGATTTTTAGAATTGTTTAATATAAGATATATAAGTATAATTTCCTTATAATTTTCTTTTCTAAACAAATGTTATTTTCTTTGTTTTACACGTTGATAAATTTGACATGTGCGTATAATTTCCTTATATATCTATTTTTAAATAAATAAAAAGGAATTTTTGTTTAACACGTGTCAGAATCTGACATCGATAAATTTGACACGTGGCACGATCCTATGAGTTATTAACTTTGAAAACTATACTTTATATAATAGGATGTGAACCATTTAAAACAAACTTTTAAATTAACTCGAATTATATGTTTTTAAATAAAATTATTATTAAAAAGAAAATAACAAAATAATGTTTAATTTCACGGACGGGGTTATATGGTGAGACGGGTTTGGGTCGATATTAAAACGGGACGGTATACCACACGGATGAAATCCTAGAATTAATAACTAAAATACAATTATACAATCTTAAACAGTGAACAAAATAAACAATCTTAACAAAATATATATCGCTTAAAATTTAAAAATTTTAAGTTATAAAAAATTGACCCGCGATATACCGCATCTATAATTGCACACGAATTAATATATGCTTATATATATATATATATATATGTTATTTTACAAATACAAAACAGTAGGTTATATCTTTAGATAATCTACCTAACCATTTAAATGCTGATTTTTAAAAAAACTTATAGTCCCGCAGTGTACCGTGGGTGTAAATCTAGTTAGTTCATTACAGGAAGACAATGATGTATCTATGAATACATTGGAGTTCAACACATTAATAGTTCAGTTAATGTATATTTTGATGTCTCATGCTTGTTAACAGTTTTTACCTCATTGGAGTTCTACTACACCCTCTGCAGATTCTACCTTAGTAATTAAACTGCGGTTTTGTGAAGATTGGAGAGCCCGGGAATAGTGTTTGTGCTAGCGTTGCATTCAAAGAAAGAACACAAGAAACATAAAACACTTATGCATGAGGTAAGGGGTGTAACGGTCGGATAGCTAGAGTTTTTAAGGATATTCGAATCCAACTTTCAACTCTACGGACTTCAGATATCCGCCCAAACATCAAAATATCCTCATTACTTTTAAGTTAATTTCAAAATGTGTAACAATGATTTTTATAAGTTCAGTTGATGACCAAAAGTTTTTGGTTGTGTTGTAAGAGATTTGTTAAAGCATGTGATCTTAATTGGTGTCTGTTTATTGAGTAATCAAGAGCTGCATTTGAAACGAAAAACAGATTTTGAACAGTTCTTTATACTATTTGTTTAAGCAAATTATCAGCTACTACTCCTCATTGTTGGTTCTTACTTGAGTCTCTGAATCCACAAATGCGGTGACTGAAGAAGTCATCTGATTTGGTTTCTTGGGAGCTTTCTCATCAGATATGATGACTCTCTCGGGTTCTTTCCTCTTCACACCTATACTCTGAGATCCTGTAAGCGTTGTTCCTAGACTCGGTCTCATTTCCATCTGAGAAGACCCTGTGGCTGGACAAACTGTAACCCTTTTTTTTCCACTTCTGAGAAACTCTTCCTCAGCTTTTACTCGTTCTATCAACATCGAGACTGGTAGAAACTCCTCTTCCATCAATCTAGTGACGAAGCCTCTCCACGACGAAGGAAACTTGGAAATGATGGTACTGACATGAAACGTCTCATCAAGAAGCATACCAGCACCCACTATGGAATCTGCAATCTTGATAAAGTCTTGAACTTGCTCGAGAACAGGTCTCTCTTCAACCATTTTGAATTCAATGTACTTTCTGACTAGTGTCCTCTTAGAACTGTATTCCTCACGGTGGTAAACCCATTTTAACTCGTCCCATAGTTCCTTAGCATGCTTGAATTTCTTCAAGTATTGACGGTATAGATCATCAGACAAGGATTTCATCAAGTGATTGTGGCAAAGATAATCATCTCTCAACCAATCTTGAGAGCTACCACTACCAGTACCAGGATAAGGTTCAGAGAGTACATAAGCCAGCTTCATTTGCTTCAAAAAAAGTTCCATCTGTGATGCCCATGAAAGATAACTCCTCCCATCAAATCGCGAAGTCTCGATAAGAGAAAAACCTTGACTGCTCTTATCCAAAGCCTCACAAGTATTTGCATTTGGTGTTCTGCATAACGTTGTATAACAAGATAAGCGGTCCACAACAGCAAAAGGATTGGCTAGGGAGAACATGATAAATAAGGTAACATTCTTACGCATTTTTTAACTGGAAGTGCTTAATAGCTTCCTCTATCGCTGAGAAGTTGTTCTTGAGCACAGACCATTGGTGGGTTGGGAAATTTATTCCTAACAGAGAACAAAACATGAAAGCTTTTTAAGCCTTGAGAATAAAGACGAGAAGACAACAAGTGTGTTCAAATATTGTACCTCTAAATTTTGCATTTTCCTTATGAACATGCTTCTTCCCAATCAATAGAAAAGCTTTGCCTTGGTATTTATTAACCATCACATTTTTCGTCTCCGAAAACTATTAAACAGAAAAACAGTTTCCAGAATTCATATAACAAAGCATCTCACAGAACAAATCGAAAATCAAAACCATTCACTAGAATAGAACATAGTAGACAGTAGGGAAAGCAAAAGTCGTAACCTTATAAAGAAAGCGTTCTTCTTCAACAACATAAACTTTTCTTTTATACGCCGGAGCTACTGTCTCTGATACGGGTGCTTCCTTATGAGCAATCTCCTGAGATATAACTTCTCTGAGAATGTCCTTCATTGGTTCCTTGATCTTCTCTGTGGTAATCATCTCCATTGTTTCACCAGAATCAATCAACGGATTCTCCATTTAAAGCAACGCTTTCGACGGTGGTTCTCCGGCAAGGGTTTTGGTTTTCTGCGTTTATTTTTTGGGAAACCCGAAACGACGTCGTTTGACTTGTGAGGCCCGTATAAAACTATAGGCCCAAATGTAAGACCTAGGCAGAGATGTAGCGGACCCAACTTAACGAACCGGATCGAATCGGAATTTTTCAAATTTTTCATTTAAAAAATCGGAATTCTCCATTTAAACCGATCGGTTACCAAAATATTTTTCAAATTTTCTAAATTTTCCATTTTTTGAAATAAACTGATCAAAACTCTACCGAATCGAAATTTGTTTGAAAATGTACCGAAATATTCAAAAATATACTGAAATTATCGAAAAGACCAGAATTTAAACTATACAAACCGAATTAAATGTTGTTTTGGTTTCAATTCATAACCCATAATTTTTACATGATCTATACCGAAATTTATCACTTCCGAGCTGAACAAAACCGTAGTTCAAATTTAGTTATTTTGGTTAGATTTTTCTTAATCGAATAAACCGAATTTCCGAACTGACCCGGACCGAAGTAATAAAAACCGGTTTGCAGATATGACCAATTATCCGGTTAAGGTTCATCTATACTATTAATTGGGAAGCATTCCCTGAAAAATAACCTTAAAAAGTGTAAAAAATTACAAGGGAATGCCATTAGGATTTTTTCATTCTACGAATAAATAAAAGATTGCGTCCAAGGTTAAACTCGACAATTTAAATATATAAAAAAACGCGGATCCTGGGCATTTTGTTCGGATAAACACGCGGACCGTATGCTATTGGGGCGGGCTACCACGCGGATCTTGGGCTTCAAATACAGTCCGAGACGCGGATCCTGGAGTCGATCCGTTGGAGTGTTGATTAATGTTGGGATACCAATTATTGCCAATTATTGCACTCCGAGATTTACTACTGTATCTGTTACATAAATAAATTGCCAAAAATTTTAGATATGATTTAAAGAGATTACTATAATCTGTATAACTAACGAATCTAATTACTTGCGATTACTAATCATTGAAGACGTATACAAATAAATAAATAACCAAATATTCGCACGAATGTTTTTAAGAAAGATGCCAAAGAAATCAGAAAATAAAAGGAACACATCCTATTTTGTAGTAACTGTTTTCAATAAGAACTAATCTCAGTTATTATATTTCCCAAATTTAATAATAACAAAAATATTCGAATCCTATCAAATCGAGCATATACGAATAAAGTTTGTTTTAAATTCTGATACGCAAATATATTTTCATGCATTCAAAGGTGAACCCTAAAAACTATAGCCGTATCTGTTAGTAGTATATATACAACTACTATTTTCTTCCACTCACTAATCTTAAACTTTTCGTAATCTTTTGCTCTTTTGTTTTTCTAACTTAGACAGGTTTGTGCTCAAGTCAATTGAAAAATAATCGACAAGAATTTGGTTTATGATATACAAGTGTTTTCTAAATTTACAGATTGAAGATCCAGAGGCATTGGCAGATGCTATCAAGACAAAAACTTAGTTGGAAGGATTTTTCAATCAGTTATTCATATTGAAAAGGATAACACATCTACAGTGGGCATGCTACCTAAGGTTTCTAATTAGGTATGCTTAAGAAAGCGTTGAATATTTGTGTGTTTATCATTAACCATTGTCTTTATCATTTGATTCTATTGTATTTTGTCTAATTGAAGGTAAACTAATTATGTTAAGCTGTTTTATGAAAATTTTCCATATAGATTGACGGTGCTATTCATAGATAAAGAAGAAAACCCTCGAAAATAGGACAATGAAAGCTGGAAATGTTTCAGATCCTGTATGAGTTATCTTTAGGCGAAGTTATGGTTTGAGCCATCAATAATCTTAATCTAACCAGATAATTATAAAGAACCTGAACTTTTCAATGCCATGGGAAGTCTCTTTTTCATTTCATAGTATTGAAGACTAAATATAAGAGAATGTTAAGGAAGACCTACTCCCATAATTTTTTGTTTCTTTCTATGATTTTAAATTAGTTTTGACTATTCACCGTCTTTCATATTCTCATTCATCAACACCAACAACAACAAAATAAAAAATCATAACGAGAGAACACTTACATGATTGATATTGGCGAAGTGAATGAATAGTTTACTTAATAATTCCTTTACTCTTTCACAACTCTTCTAATTGAACCTAAAAACCAAGGCCATAACTCGGATCAGGACCTGACATAGAAAACAACTAATAGTTATCTCATAGATTAATTAGTCTAAAATCAAAGAAAATTTTCATAAGAAAAAAAATCAATGACGAATAACATGTAGAGCCTCTAAATAATTGGGAAAAGGTGATTCTAAGAAACAAAGGACATCGAATTCAATACAAGCAAGAATAAGATTTTTGTGAGATCATTGGACTTATATAATGTTGATAAACATATATAGATACACACTTACCTTGGCCATATGATGGAAAGTGAAGAAGCGAGAAAATGCCTTGGAAAAAGAATCATAATTCACTTAATTCCCGAGATCGCCACAACAGTGGAACATAAATTTGTAAAAATTCTACATTAACAAAACAGTAAAAACATCAAAAGCCCCAACAAGGAAAGCTTTCAGATATCATATTTTAGTGAAATCCAAACACCAAATGTCCAAATCCAAAGAGCAAAGCTTTAAGTGTAAAACATATGATCCCTAATTTGTAGAATTTATAATCACAGTATCAATCATACCGGGAAACTTCTACCTTAAGAACAACATAAATCCCTAAAATCAAAGCTGATGAATGTCTAAAACCCTAATTTAAACCGGAATCTCAAATTCGCAAAACGCTGTGAATTCAATAATATTCTAGATTCTCAACCCAAATAACTGAGGATACCAGACCAAAAGGCTGAGGATAGACCATGGGTCCGGGAATGGGTGCTACAAGCACCGTCGAAGAGGATGAAGAAAAAAAAAACTACAACTGCGAGACTGTGAAAACAAAATTTAGATATAAAATTGACAATAATTACCCGTAGAAGATCCAGATTCTTGACAATCCTAGGCGAAGATCTCTATTCAAACAGAAAATTTCAAAAGATTGGAAATTGAATCGACATATAAAAAAAAATAGTTAAAAGTATAAATTTGATTCAATAATAAACTTACACAGAGTATAACCGGAGACAAAATCGCTGAATTATATGAGAATTTCGCCATTGATGATTTGATCGACCGATGTTCTTAATTTTTTTTGGTGGGCGACCGAAGTTCTTAATTGTATTCGGTGGGTTTTCTTCTTTTGAGATAAGACAACGATTGTTCTAAAAACAATTATATGTCCAAATGAAGAAAGAACAAAATTCCTTAATATTAAATACAAAACACAAAGGAAAATAGAAAATGTATTTCGGCCCATCATCAACATGTATTTCAGCCCAAAAAACAATTATTCGGTTTAAGTTATGGGCCATTTAATTAAACTTTTGGTAAACATTTGGTAGAGAGGTTTTCTGAAATACCAAATATTAATTTATAAACAATAATGTTGCATTACCAAAAATTAATTTTAAACATTTTAGAATTACATATTCTTTCAAAATTTTACATTTCTATTATAACTATTACACACCTGACTTCGGTATCTGTTAAAATTATTTAGTATGCACCAAAACCAAACTATTTATTTAAATAAAACACTTAAAAATGATAAAAACAAAAAAAAAATTAATAACTAAAATTTCTATTCAAAATTTATAACTAATCAAACAGAAAATAAGCGTGTTTAACAAAGTTTTTTTAAACATAAAACAAAAATATTGTATGTAAAATATCCTATTATATAATTCACTAACAAAAAAAAAATGTTGATTAAAACTTTCTGCAAACACTATTATTTGTACATTGCACCCCACACGTATGTAACTATTCAAACAGAAAAAACAATTGTGTAACAAAATTTATTTAAAATACAGAATATAATTTTGCAATTAATTTATAATATTTTGATATCTATACTATAATCTAATTCACTACAAAAACAGAAAACAATTTCTTAAGTACTACTTTTAATAAAAATTGATTCTAAATTTTATACAACATATATCTTAAAATATGAAATCCCGCACGAACGTGCCAGTCTGGATCTAGTTATTTGATTAACGTTGTTCGTTGATTTTAGAGAAAATCAATCAATCACTAAAATTAGTCGTTAAACAAAGCTTGCGAAGAAGAAGAAAATGGCGGATTTGATTTTGAGTTCCTCTGCACAATCCTCTCTCCTTCACGTCAGACCCAATCTCTTCCTACTCAATACCTCCACTGCTTCACCGATCCGAAGTGTCAGATTCCAAAATCCCAACGGTTTTCATCCTCTCGCGTTCGCATCTGGTCACCGACGACTTCCTCTCGGTGCAGTAGTTCCCTCTGATTCGACTAAGACGATCACCGGTACTATTACCGCTAATTGCGTTGATTCAGGTGTAAAAGCTGTTGAAGTCGAGCCTACGATCGATTACGGAGGTGGTGGTGGTGGTGGAATTGGAGGTGATAAATTTGGCGGCGGTGGTGGAGGCGGCGATGGAAATGACGACGGAGAAGATGGTGATAAGGAAGAGAGTGACGGGAAAAAAGGCACGCCTCTGTCTATGTCGCAGAAATTGACTCTTGGTTACGCTTTTCTCGTTGGAGGTGAGATTCAATTTTACCATTTATTGAACTCTAGGGTTTATACTTGATTCTTCATTGTGGAATTCCTTTTTGTCTGAGGATTTAGAACTTAGATATGAAGCTTAGACTATCGATTTTCTTGTCGTAGGTGAGATTCAATTTTGTCAATTTGATGAACTTTTAGGGTTTAGGGGTTTACCTGCTTCTCCATTTAGACTTGATTTTTGAGATTGTGAATTTGAAGATCCAACGTGATGTGTTAGGGCTAGCAAAATCATCACAGTTCTTTATCTTGAGAATAAGAATATGGTTTTAGGAGAATCCAATTTTTTAAGAAATTGATTTTATCTTGCGGATTTGTAGATACTTAGAAATATATCCACACTCATTAGAAAATGGGAGAAGAAAAAGGTTCATAGAACCGCACCACATGTTTTGAGGATTAATTACTATTGCATATTTGCTAGAGATGGATTTTGATGGGACTTGAACTTGAATTCAGCAAAACTTGATGGTATAAGAAAGGTTTCTGGAACTGACAGTCATAGCTTTAGGTTCGAAATTGAAAGGTTCATTGTCCTTTGTTAATTCCTTTAAGATTCTTTTTATGAGGTGATGTTACTAATGTGATTCAGATCGCTATGAGTTTCACAATCCAGATTAGGTCAGTCTGTATCTGTGTATGCTTATTAGGTGAAGTTATTTCTCATTTTATTATGGACTCACAGAGATACTAAAACGTATTTTAAGAACACTGATCTTATGCTTGCCTAGAAAGTGATACTCAAATGCTCATGAACTGTGTTACATGGTTTTGATGCAGTTGGTGGGCTGATGGGTTATCTGAAGAGCGGTAGCCAGAAATCGCTGCTTGCAGGTGGACTGTCAGCTGCTGTTCTGCTGTATGTCTTCAGCCAGCTCCCAACAAAACCTGTTCTTGCATCAACCGTTGGCGTAGGTAAGGAAAAGAGATTGTCAATAGCAGAGTAGTTTGAAAAAGAGTGAAAAGTTGGACCCTTGAACGGTGATGATACTTGATTTTTTAATGCCTGATGATATAGCTGCCTTAACTTAACACCTGCATTGTTTGTGTATGTTAAAAAAGTGATGGCGGGTGCATTAACGTACGTGATGGGAACCAGATACATGGGATCGAAGAAGATATTTCCTGCTGGAGTCGTGTCGATCATGTCTTTCATTATGACCGGAGGATACATACACGGTATCATGCGTAGCCTTCACTAAGCAGCAGCAAACACTCTCGAGTCTGTTACAAAAGTGTCTGTCTCTGACCTTTTTCTTTCTTTGTGTGTTTCACGGTGTAAAGCAGCTTCGCTACTTTGTGTTTTGTATGAACCATAAGGAAACTACCAAAACGTTCCAGAGAAGTACTTTTGAAATATCTTATGGATTTAGCTCTGTGGTCAGAATCTAAAAACTCAAATTATTCCCGAAAATCTTCAAAATCGTGGAACCAAACTACAAAATCTATCACCAAATTTAAAGAGTAATACAAAAAAAAAAAACATTAAATTTTCTGACTTAACGTTTGCTTCTTCTTCTTCACACAAAACTGTACGGAAGAAAAAGAATAATGGAGTTTGGATTAGCCACTTCGAGTTTTCTGGGTACGCAAATAATTCCGGCGACTCTGTTTTGCAGACGAGCTCGAGCTGTCTCTCTCACCGTGACTGCGAGTGGAAGTTACAATCGCAGTAGAAACGATAAGGTTTACACGAGGCTTGATTCTTGTCTAGTGATTCCTCCTCCTCCTAGATTCAAGAAACCGCGTGCTATTGTTAAGTTCTTGGGAGGTGCCTTCGTCGGAGCTGTACCTGAACTCACTTACAGGTACTTTGATTCTTCGAGTACATCAAATTTCACATAGCCTTGATGATGATTCTGGGTTTTATCTGTTAATGGAACTTGGACGAGTTTAATAATTATTACCCTGCTTAGGATCAATTTAGTTTTTGTAACTGTAGATATTACTCTCTATAATTCCATGGATTTGCTGAGTTTTGGATAGATGAAGTTATATGAGAAATGGTCTTGACTTTGACAGTATAAGTGGCTTCACTTGATTTGATTTTGATCACTTCACTGTGGTTTTGTATCCAATGCATCTAGCACTATACCATTGAAGCCAATATGATTGCAGATCAAATTGCTATGGTTATATTTAAGTTCATGCAATTTGGTCATAAATCAAAGAAAGAATCTATCATTGTAGAACGTTTTGTTATCTATAGACTTTATTAAAGACCACATCTGCTAGTCTAGGAATTAGGAGATTGGGTATTTCTTCATGGTCTCATCTTTCTAGTCACTGAAAATGCTCCCTTGGCTCAATTTTTTGCTATATGAATCGCTTTTTCCCGTCTAAGTAGGGGGATGTCCACTGGAATTGTAAGTTTTTTTCCTTTCAAGTAATTGGATAATTGCATGCCATAGTTTCATACCTCCATAGAATGATTGATTCTGAAACTCAAAAGATGTTGCTTTGTGTCTGTGTGCTTTTTAGTTACCTCAAGGAGCTACTGGCAAAGGAAGGGTATTTAATAGTATCAGTGCCGTACAATGTTACGTTTGATCATGAACAAGCTGCTAAGCAGGTTTATGAGAGGTTTAATTCTTGCTTGGACAAGATTGTCTCATCTGGAATTCCAAATACAAATTTGAAGCCTGAAGATCTAGCTGACCTTCCTCTTTTCTCAGTTGGTCACAGGTCGGAAACTTTTCACTTCTCCCCTCAACCTTATGAATTCTCTATGTCGTGAATGCTGACTATCAACTTTTCTACTTTTATACAGTAATGGTGCGCTGCTCCAAGTTTTGACCGGAAGTTATTTTGCTGAGAAGATACCAAAGGTTAGGTTACTTGTGAGATAAAATGTAAATATCTGTAAAAATCAGCAAGATTAGATTACCAATATGTGTATTATTTCTGGACAAGAATTCTAGAGTGATACATAACCTTTTCTTTGTCTTAATTCTAAGCAAGTGTGACAAAGATATAATCTCTTTTGTGAAAGGTTAATGCCATCATTTCATTCAACAATAAATCAGCGACAGAGGCAGTTCCATATTTTGAGCAGGTAATATCATCATTGGTTATGATTAGCCTCCTAAGCTTTGCTTGGTTTAGAATGTATTAGTGATATTCTCTTGTCATCGTTCTCTTATGTTGTCCTATCTTAACCTTCATTATATGACTCCAATAGAGATCACAGGGTATACTTGATGTTAGCAACCTATAGCTTATCCACCTTATATATCAGAATCTAGGCTACAAAATAGTAGCTCAACAAGATTGATTGATGTTCGGAATTTTGTTGCTATCTAATGCTTCTTGAGTTGAATTGATTTTCTAATAATATGATAGCCAATCTGATCCTGTAGTTTTCAAATGGATGAACAGAACAAATGAGACTGTGATTTTTGTATCTAAGATTGTCTATATTCCTCTGCAGCTTGGTCCTCTCATCCAGCAGATGCTGCCAATCGTGGAAGCTTCTCCAGTATATGAAATGGCTCGAAATGCTTCAGGTGATACTACTTAAGCAACAAATTCTAATGCAGATATTCTCTCAATTAATCTATTTATTAGTGCGTACTAGGAGAAACAATGTTTTCAGTCTTTTTTCCATTGAATCTTAGCTAATAAAAAGAGAACTTCTATAGTTAGTGTTCTTATTGTCCCGTTTCATCGATTTCTAACCCTTTTCAACTTGCATAGTACGTCCTAGTTGAGACATTTATAATTCTTGAGAATCAAAAGTAGCTAATATCTTTGCACTTGTTCTCACTTACAGGTGATGTTTTGAAACTCTTACTTGACACAGCTGGGACAACGATTCTAAATAACGATCAAGAAGCTCTTAAGTCATTTACTAAATTGGTGGATCAATTGCCCTCAGTGTTTGGTGAGGTATTTCTTCAGTAAGGGACTTCTTGACTTCGTATCGAAGATTGAGCTTTTGTAGTTCCCTTGTAATTGGCCAAGCCTTAAAAACAATTGAACTTCTCGTTCTTTGTTTCGTTGTTCTATGCAGGTAGGACAAGGAGTGTCGGAATTCAGACCGTCACCACTTGAGAATCGCAATTGCTTCAAGTGCTCCTACAGCGTTCCACACACTTTACTGGTAATGCACACACAAGTTCATTTACATTTATACTAGATTTGAACCCGCGGTACACCGCGGGGCTATAATTTTTTAAAAAAAAAATCTAAATATAATTAGTTTTGTTTATTAATAGAGAGTATAGTATAATATTTCGACCTATTTTATAAATGTACCATCAATATATCTATATTAATAGTTTTGAGTATATTAATTGTGTTTTAGGTTTAATGCTATATCTATATATACACTTAAACGACATTTGGCTTTCTTCTTCTTCTTGCCTCAGTTTAGGAGAAAGATTTTTTTTGCGGTACACCGCGGGGCTTTATTTTTTAAAAAAGATTTTTCTTCCTTAAACTTCCAAATCTAGATTTTACTCTGCGGTACACCGCGGGTCGATTTTTTTATAACTAAAAAATTAGTTTGCAAAATTTTAAGTTGTATTTGTTTTGTTAATATTGTTTATTTTGTTTAGTGTTTCTGATTTTATAATTAAATTTTTATTTTTAATTCTAGGATTTCATCCATAGTATATTGTTTAATACTAATATTGATCTAAACCCGTTGCACCATATAACCCCGTCCCGAGTGATGTAAACATCATTTGTTATTTTTTTTGAATAATATTTTTATCCACTACGGGTCGCAGGTTCATGCGGATAAGCCCGTAGAGAGTTGCGGGTTTGCGGGTCGACCCGCCAAAAGAAGTAGAAGTAGAAGTAGAAGAAATTGTAGTATATGAAGTAGAAAATATCTCTAAAAAATAATTTTCATTATATGAAAAAAAAAAGTAGAAGAAATTGTAGTATCAACATTCCCGATTTTTACATCACTCGTTACAATTAATTTTTTTTTTGCAGATAAAAATCAGATGTTAACTAAGTCGAGATTTTTAAAAAGATTGTGTAGATAAAAAATAATTTTCATTATATGAAAAAAGAAGTAGAAGAAATTGTAGTATCAACATTCCCGATTTTTACATCACTCGTTACAATTAATTTTTTTTTTGCAGATAAAAATCAGATGTTAACTAAGTCGAGATTTTTAAAAAGATTGTGTAGATAAAAAATAATTTTCATTATATGAAAAAAGAAGTAGAAGAAATTGTAGTATCAACATTTCCGATTTTTACATCACTCGTTACAATTAATTTTTTTTTTGCAGATAAAAATCACATGTTAACTAAGTCGAGATTTTTAAAAAGATTGTGTAGAGATTTTTGATAAATTGTTGAGAACATATTTGATTTCAAAATCTTTACTTAAAAAGATAAGGAAATATTTTGTAGAGACTTTTGCTAAATATATGAGAAATGAATTTCATTTAAAAAATTTTACTTAAATAAAACAAATCTAAATAATTAATCTAAATAATTAATGCTAATGGTATGCCATTGTAAATACTTCTCAACTTCAGGATTTATTTGCTAATTGTGATCCAAAAATGTATATATAGATGAGCTTGACGGTTCAAAGAGTGAACCAACTGCTAAGCATACTGTCATATCTATCCGCATTGATCTCGAGTATAGATTATTAGACTCGACAATATGTGTACGGTTATACATTTCTGAGATGATTTCTTGGACATAGAGACTGTTTGTTTACTCATTACTAATCCATATTGGTTGAGATAAGAAGCATAGAAGTGAACAGTCTCTGTCTGATTAGAACCAGCAATACACATATTTGATCTTTGTCTGCTGCAACATTTGTGGTAGGTACAATTCAACTCTGATGCAATCGACGAGACCGATTTGCTCGAAGAAACCCTTAGGCCTCGGATAGAATCTATTGGTGGTACACTTGAAAAGGTTCGGCTGAATGGAAACCATCTCACACCTTGCATACAGGTAATTAACCAAGCAACCCTAGAGCTAATAGTTCTGCAGTTAACAACTTTGCTCAGTCATTTATGCATCCTGTTAATTGAACTTGATTATGTGTCTCCAGGACCCAAAGTGGCAAATTGGGTCTGTGTACACGCCAGCAGACGCTGTGGCCCAGGCGCTAAAGACCATTCCTCTTAGCGAAACTCGAGTTCTTTCCAGGACGATCGTTGACTGGTTTAGACGGTTTGAGGATTAGCCTATCTCATGTATTGTTGAAGCAATGTAAGGATGAGATATAAATTGACGAACAAGACCAGCCTTAATCATCCTCCGGTCATACATCCTTGTCTGAACCAAAAAAATAAATGGTAACATGTGTGTATACATGTATATACATGGGTGACGCGTTACAAATATGATTTATTGAATTTGGGTTTTATTGAAATAGTTTGCACATCTAAAGCTATGTCAC